TCAGGCTTTAAGGGATCTCAGAGAGAGTAAGATCCAGAGAACCAAGGGCCCAAGGGGATTTGGGGAAAGCTGTATACCCAGTCATCCAATGTCTGATGACCTTGAGCCTGGCCCATGAGTTTTCCTATGCGCCTCACAGCCATGGCAAAGAAAGGAACACCCGGTTCACGGCTCCTTCAGTCCCACACTATGGCTTCCGCCCTTAGCGTCTCCCTGCTGGACTGTTGTTGCAACTGGTCTTTCTTCCACCAATACACTCTCCACACAGCCCATCAAGTGCCCCAAATATCAAAGCTAATTAAAAAACCCTTCTGTCCATCAGCTACTAAACCAAGTCCCAATTCTTACATGGTATACAAGGCTGCAAGGACCTGGTCCCTCCCCACGTTAACCATAACCTTTGCCACCGTCCCCTCCATCCCTGTTTCCTACTGTCTAGGAGAAGCCAAGCCTTCTCGTGCTCCCTTGCACGTACTCTGCTGTTCCAGCTGATGAACTCAGCCTTCAGGGTCACCCAGCTCAGATGTCACTCCTTGGTGAAGCCTTCCCTGTTATCATGGAAAAGTTAGTCTTATCAGATAAGAATGATCTCATCTCAAAGCAACCAAAAACACTAGGAAAAAAATGGTTCTGACCCCAGAGTGCTCTTAGTCACACCTAAGGAGGTTTTAAAAGTCCATCCCCAGAAATATGCCAAGTGAAATTAGTCACGATCTCTGTGGCAGACCCGGTAGACCCAGACAACAGGGGTTTTCAAAACCTCCCATCTTCCACTGTGCAGCCAAGTTGAGAAGCACCGAAGCAGGGGGTTATTTTTAATGAGTCCAGAGGTAGGCGGTTGCTGGGGTTGGCTGAGTGGTTCAGTGAAACTGACGCCAATGTCTCCATGATGCTGTTAACTTTTCCTTTCTGCTTGGTTGCCCCAGGGTCACAGATGGCCATAGTTGGCCCTCCATGTCCAAAGCAGGGAGAAACCTATAGGGAGAAAGGGAGGGCCCAGCCCATTCTTTCTCGTGAATGAATCAAAGACTGTCCCAGAAACCCCTTCAGCTGACTTAGATATCATTGATCAGAATTGGGTCAGCCTCAGCTGCAGCAGAGGCTGGGAAAAGCGGGCAACAGGATTTCTAATAAATGGAAAGGACCAGTCAGGCTCTGTCATGAGGGACTGAGGGCATTGCTACCCCCAGTTCCATGTGTGTGTGTGATCAAGGACAGAGGTAAGGAAGGGATACTGAAAGGTGACAGAATAGGCCACCCCAAAATATGCCATTTAGACATAAGGATTGAGCTAACGGCACATTTAAAAAAAAAAACAAAACAGACACCAGAAGGGCATTCCAAACTCCTATGTTCTTCCAGAAAACAGGAGACAGAAACTGCCCCATGAAAGATGCTCTCTCTGTACAGGAGACAAGACACATCCTTCACTGGGGAGTCAAAGCGAGAGAACTCTGGACAAACAGACCTTGTTAAAGTAACTCTAATCTTCGTTTGGCCTCCTTGTATATTTTAGTTGCTTTTCCACAATTGCCTCTCTTTATTCAATCTAGGACAAAAGTACTCATGTTTTGCCACTTTTCGGGGTCTTCACTTCCTTATGAAAGCTCCCATGGCATGTAAAACATACAAATGTGTATGCTTTTTGCCTGTGAATCTATCATATGTCAAGTTTAATTCTCAGACCTGGCTGGGAGGGACTAAGAGGGTAGAGGTATGAAGTACCCTGTACGCAGCCAGCAGATCCTGCCACAGCTACTGATTCTCTCTGGGCTTCAAAGTTTCTGTGCGCACAGCCACAGTAGAAATCACAGGAAGGCCTTGTGGAGACATGTGTCGACATGTCGTGTCTCTCCGGCACTTCTCGACTCGGGCCGCACATGAGAAATACCTGGGGAGCTTTTGAAAAACACCAGTGCCTAGACCCCATTCATAGAGAGTTTAATTTAGTTGCTGAAATTGGTGAAACTCAGCCATAATTCATTTTTTTTAAGATTTATTTATTTTTAGAGAGGGGAAGGGAGGGAGGAAGACAAACATCAATGTGTGGTTTCCTCTTGTGCGCCCCCTACTGGGGACCCGGCCTGAAACCCAGGCATGTGCCCCGGCTGGGAATCGAACCAGCCCTTTGCTTCGCAGGCCGGCGCTCAATCCACTGAACCCCACCAGCCAAGGCACCATAACTGATGTTTGAAAGCTCCCCCAAGTGATTCTCATGTGCAGGCTGGGTTAACCGCAGCTACACATCTAGGACCTTGAGAACAGTGTCTGTATCCCCTTCGACAGGCACAGTGCTTGGAATACGGGGCTACCAGGAAATCCTCACTGAATGAATGACTGAATGAACGAACGAACGGCGAAGAAGAATTTCTGTCCCAGCATTGCCAGCTCTCAGCCTGTACTGCGCAGCACCCCGAGTGCGGTTCTCCCTTCCTCTCCAGTTTTCCTTTCCTACGGAGCACTGTACTTAGCCGCCCTCAGTTAACCACATCCATGCATGGGACGGCCTCTCCTGTGTGCACGGACTGCCGCTTCTCCTACAGCTGCTGTGCTGCGTACCCCAGCCCCACTCCATCCTGGCAGCTGCCTCAATCTGAAAAGGAGGCAACTCGCTCCAACAACAGCCAGGCTCAACTCTTGTGCCTTCAGGAAGCCTCCTGCCCCACGTGAGGGAAGAGCAATGGAGGGGAGGGAGAGGGCAGCCTTCCACATGCTTTCTAGTCCACGCGCAGCTACAATCCCCAAATGGACATTGAAGTTTTAATCAGTGGCACAGGGCCTGGTCTGACTAACAAGCAACCCACAGACACGTGTTTTGCTTCTCCTGCCCAAGTGTAGAAAATGCGTCTTACCTGATTCCTCGGACAAATGCGAGTGTGAGAAACGCCCTGTCAATGTCATGAGAATGGGTCAGCAGTCAGCACATCCCAGGTGACGTCATCTGGCATCCTAACAGCTGATTCTGGGCCCCATTATGCTGCCGAAACTGCTGGTTCAAAGGTCACCTCCGCAAAGCCAGTTTCAAGGGCACGTGACCCGTGCAGTTTGCTCAGGGCGCCACGTCCTGTGCTCAGCAGGGCCCTACACTTGGTTTTGCCATCTGCTGTCACCATCTTGACATTCATACCGGTCTTGGAACGAGGGGGCCCCACATTTTCATTTTGCACTGGGCCCGCGATTGTGTCCAATCTGGTCACCCATAGTCTCTTACAAAACCCAGCAAGATCTCTGGCTGGTATAGCTCAGTGGATTGAACACCGGCCTGGGAACCAAAGGATCGTGGTTCCCTTCCCAGTCAGGGCACATGCCTGGGTTGCAGGCCAAGTCCCGGCAAGGGATGCATGCAACGCAACCATACATTGGTATTTCTCTCCCTCTCTCTTTCCCTTCCCATCTGAAGATAAATAAATCAAATCTTTTTTAAAAATTAAAAAAGTGTAGCCCTGGCTGGCGTAGCTCAGTGGATTGAGCGCGGGCCTGCGGACCAGAGTATCGAGGTTCGATTCCCAGTCAGGGCACATGCCTGGGTTGCGGGCCAGTTCCCAGCAGGGGACTCAGGAGAGGCAACCACACATTGATGTTTCTCTCCCACTCTTTCTCCTTTCCTTCCCCTCTCTCAAAAAATAAATAAAAAAATATTTTTAAAAAAAATTTAAAAAAAAATTAAAAAGTGTAAATTAAATATAGACATATAAACATGCACTAGTATCCATCATATATTATTTTTTAAAAAAACCAGCGAGGACCTGGCTGGTGTAGCTCAGTGGATTGAGCACGGGCCTGTGAAGCAGACAATCACAGTTCGATTCCCAGTCAGGGCACATTCCTGGGTTGCTGGCCAGTTTCCAGCAGGGGATACACCAAAAGCAACCATACGTTGATGTTTCTCTCCCTCTCTTTCCCTTCCCCCTAAAAATAAGTGAATAAAATCTTTAAAAAAAAACCAGTGAGGTTCTCCTTCTCAGAGAGGTCTCCACAGCATGAGACCCCAGCCTCTTCTGTGCAAGTCTCCGTGACACCCCTCTCTTCCAGTACCTGGCGACTATTAGAAGAGGGTGATATAACTCGGTGGCTTGGGCTGCAAATGATGTGTGAGATTCAGAGACCCCGAGGAGCCCTGGCCAGTGTGCTTCAGTTGGTTGGAGCATCGTCCCACACACCACAAATTGAGAGTTCGATTCCCAGTCGGGGCACATGTCTGGGTTGTGGGCTCAGTCCTCAGTCGGGGCATGTACTGGAGGCAGCCAGTTGGCGTTTCTCTCTCTCTCTCTTTCTCTCTAATAAAATGAAAAAATGTCCTTGGATGAGGACAAAAAAATAAGCCCCAGGGAATATCATCCCAGCACGCCCTGGCTGTTGGGCAGGAAGGAGAGTTAAAGTTCCAACTGGGGAGCCCAGGGCCCCAGCAAACTGAGGGAACCCGAGTCAGCTCCAATCCAGAACATGAAATCAGCAGGAAAACTGGTAGGCGGCCATATCAGGCGTTAGGCACCTTGAAGAACCCCTTCTGGCTCCTAGAGGGGCCGTCTGCCAAGAGCAGAGAACAAACTAAAACCGAACCACCACGCTCCCTGCCAAGCAAGTGGGCTGGGCACCGGGTGCGGAGCCAAGAGATGGTGTGGTCCAGAGAGAGACGAGTTTTCCAAGGAAAAGGCTGAGACAAGTTTGCTCACCAGGGAAGAAGGCGCCACGGGGTGTGGTAGAGGGCAGAGGAGAGCGGGGAAGGATGAGTTGAGGGGAGAGGGCTTGCTCGAGGCAGTGAATGTGAGATCGCACCCACCCAGCTCTGACCCCCCCACCCCCACCGCAGGGCTGCCAAGCAGGGATCCTTCTACTCGGCCAGGCCCTGGGCAAGGGACCGAAGTCCCGGAAGGAAGAGCCTCCTCCCCAGCTGAGAGACGGGAATGGAAGATGACAACAGCAGGCCTTGGGAGGGGAGCCCAAGGCAGGGAATGGAACTGGCGCCTGGTCTCCCAGGCCGAGTTCATCAGGGTCCAGCATCTGCCCTGTCTTGGCATCGTCTGGCCAGGCCATGGCTCAGGTGTCTGATACCCGGGGACCGGAGTCACATGCCAGGAAACCCAATACTCTTGGGCCCCAGTCCCCAGCTTCCAGCAGCTCCGAGCAAGCAGGGCTTCTGGGGGAGGAAGCGAGTCTCCAGAGCGGAGCAGCAGGGAGGCTACTTCTGGGGAGAGGGCAGCCCAGGAGAAGGCTCTCCCACCTACAGGGGTGAGATGCTGAGAGGCGGAGGGAGGGGACAAGGGAGGAAGGAGCTGGGCGGAGAAGACAAAACTGGGGCAGGCAGAGGGGCGGATGCTGCAGGAAAGGGGTGGATGGGCACAGAGGCGGGGCCTTAGTCGCCTCGCCTGGCTGGACATCCTGAAGTCCTGTTACTGACCTGTCCTCTTTGTCTCCTTCACACTAGTGCCAGCTGGCCCTCTGGGGCCTCCCTGGTCCACCTGGCAGCCACCCAGGTAGGTTGATGGGAAAAGACTTTATTCCAGTGAGGAAAATCAATACATGGGCAGAAGCAGGAACGTAGAGCCCCCAGACCCAGAATGACAACAGGGTCTTGGCCCAAGAGACTTCACAGATTAGCCCTCCAGACTCAAAGACACCCTAGAAGAGTCTCAGGCCCAGGGGAATCCTTTAACTAAAGGGCCTGATGAGGAGCCCTAAACCCCAAAGAGGAAGCAAAAAAGTCACCCAGGCCTGAGACATCCCCCGAAGGAGGGTCCTCCATCCAAAGAGACCCCACAGGAAGACCTTAGGGAGAGAGAGCTGGCAGTGGGGAGTAGAGCTCTCTTGACTCATTCATTCTTTCTTTATGGGTCTTTCTCTTGCCCAGATCCTACTCTATTCCAGGGCTATGCCAGTCTGTGGCCATGCTCCCACCATCCAGACACCTCCTGTCCCTGTTGCTGGTGATGGGCACAGGGGGCACCATGCCCAGCCCCCGGGTACCTCCCCAGGGCTGCTACGTGGCAGAGGAAGCTGGTGAGAGGACGTTCCGCTGCAGCCAGGCAGGCCTGAGTGCCGTGCCCCCTGGCATCCCCAACGACACCCGCAAGCTCTACCTGGATGCCAATCGGCTGGCATCAGTGCCAGCTGGTGCCTTCCAGCACCTGCCTTTTCTGGAGGAGCTGGATCTGTCCCATAATGTCCTTGCCCACCTCTCAGGGGCTGCTTTCCAGGGTCTGGCAGGCGTGCTGCGGCAGCTCGACCTCTCTGCCAACCAGCTGGCTTCGGTGCCCGTGGAGGCCTTCCTGGGGCTGCAGGTCCAAGTGAACCTGTCTGCCAACCCGTGGCACTGCGACTGTGCCCTCCAGGAGGTTCTCCGACAGGTGAGGCTGGCACCGGGCACTGGCACGGGCATCGTGTGTGGCCCGGGAGCCCGACCAGACCTCGTGGGCCAGGAGTTTCTGCCGCTGGCAGGGCAGGAAGAGCTGTGTGGGACAGGGCGGGGCGGGGCGCGGCGGAGCACAGACGCGGCTCTGCTGGTCACCATGGGGGGCTGGCTGGCACTGGTGGTGGCCTATCTGGTCCATTATGTGTGGCAGAATCGGGACGAGAGCCGGCGTCCCCGAAAGAGGCCCCCCCTGCTGCCCGTGCATTCCGAGGACTCCTCCACCCTCAGCACCAGGGTCTGATGGCCATGCCCACACTCTCCCCCCTGGTGCTCTCTCTCCTCCTCCGACCTCTCGGCCTCCTCTGAAGCCCCAGCCCACCCCACCCCCACCCCCTTCCTCCTCTGTCTCCCCTAAACTCCTGCCCTCTCTCAACCAACACTATTACTGGTGCTCGGAGTATTTGGGGTGCCTATTTTTGGTGCCTACTTTGGGCGCACATTGTGCAGGGCTCAGAGCTCCTGGGTCCACAGTAGTGGGGGCACAGAACAGAGGAGGTAGGTGGCTTGTGTGCCGACTTGGAAGTCGGAGCACATGTGGGTGCATCTGTGGGTGGGAGCCCCAGCCTGGCTGAGCTGATCTTTAAGGCTTCACTGGACAGATGTTTGAACTGACCCTTCAGGAGCGAGAAGGGCTTTGGGCAGAAGAGGGAGACCCTGGCTGAAAGGTGGTGGACAGAGGCAAAGAAGATGCAAAACAACTTGGAGCGTCTGGGCGGCAGCAAGACCTTCCTTGGGGCTGAAATGGAGGTGCTAAGAGGGACCAGGGGTGGTGGTGGGACCGAGCCCGCGATGACATCAGAAGGTTGGGATGCAGTTAAATCGAGAAGGTCCCAGGGGACTCCTCCTCTCTTCTCTGTCACCTCTACCAAGAAGCTCCCCCTCTCTCTTGGCCACAGGCGCCTCTCCCTAAGCCCTCTTTTGGGGGAACCCCCGCTTCCTTTTCCAGAGACTCTCCATCTCTTTGCTCTCTCCTCTGCTTACTGAAGGGTTTCCTGAATACTTTCCCTTGGGGGTAAAGGGGTCTCCTCATGCCTGAGCTGGGGGTGGGTCACTCATTGGAGAGTGGGGGGCAGAGGGAGGGGAAGGATCAGGTTTCCCTTCCCCAGCATATTACCCCGGGACAACTCAATAAATTCACTTTTTTAAATGCCCTTGATCTCTTTCTTATTATTCATTTTCTCTCCTTTTCTTTTTTAAGATTTTACTTATTTATTTTTAGAGAGAGAGAAAAAGAGGGAGAGAAAGATGAGTGAGAGAAACATTGATCAGTTGCCCCAGGCATGTGCCCGGACTGGGAATAGAACCAGAGACCTTTCAGTTTGCAAAAGGTCAGAAACCCAACCCACTGAGCCGCCCCAGTCAGGGCTTGTTCATTTTCTTGATCGTGTGTGGCCGAGCAGTGAGGAGGGGGCGGGTGCTGAGACCTTCATCAGCACCTCCATCACCCCTTGGGTGGGGGGTGCTCCAGCTGGGCTGGCTGCCCACTCCTCTCTCTCCTCCTACCGGGTACTAGACACTCAGCTCCCGACACTAGAGTCTGCCTGCTAGGGATGCCAGGGCATATGAATTAATGATGACGAACTGCAAGGATGGGGAATGGGGGGGCCCGGAGGGAGGAGGGCAATGTCTGGGCATCAGTCCTGAGCCAGCAGTCTCCAGCCTGCGGGCGGAGGAGGCACAGGAGGCAAAGGGCGAGGGAGCTGTCAGTGTCTTGCATTCTTCTTTTCTCTCAGGGGGAGACCAAGCAGGAGGTAAGCGAAACTAGATGTTCAAAGTTACTGAAAAATTCCTGGGGGAGGGGTAAAAGGGCAGAGACCAAGTTGGCTGAAGCAGGGGGCTAGATGAGATGTTCGTATCAGCCAACAGGTTTCTCAAGGGACCCAAAGGGGTGAACACACCGTCTCTCGCCCCCGTGCAGAGTGACCTGCCTATGTGGCCTCCGAGGAGGAAACAGCTGCTTCGGGAAAGTTTGTAGGAGCCCCAGTAGAAACCGAGAATAAGAACCAGTGAACCAGCAATCTACCCAGCACAGGGCAGAGCCTGGGGCACCCTGAGTGGCCCCCCAAGGAGCAGCAAAGAGGAATCCATCGCCTCTCCCGGTCCCTCTGACTCATCCTGACGTCCGTCTCCTCTCCAGCCCCCTTTCCACCGCTGCTCTGTCCATCCCTGAGGCCCCCCCCACCAGTCCAAGGCTGAGCTCTCATGTCACCCAGGAAGGCTCAGTTTGACTCCTGGGACACCCCACCCATCCTCTTTTCTCGGGAGACATGGGCCTCTCTGCTTCCAAGGACGCTCAGGGAGAACAAACTAGGGTGTGGGAATGTTCAGGCTGCAGCATGGACCATCCACCCCGGCCACACCCTGGCCTGGGCCTTAGAATCCTGGCCCAGCACTGTCAAATCCAAGGCCCTCCATGGGCCCTTCCCTGCCACTCTGCTCACCCGCCCCTACAGGAACCAGGCTGTGCTCTGGGAAACAGACTGTGAGACCCATGGAGGTGGAGGGGTGGGGAACAGGAGTGGCCTCGAGCCTCTACCACTGGTGCCCATTCCTGGAATCTCATCTGATTCCCTGTCATTCTGAGCAGCAGAGACCAAGCCTTCAAGGTCTGCAGGGTGGTCATTCCCCTACCCTGACATTTATGCCCAAATCTCCAAGCTGCGCTCAGGATGGGGCAGGATCCAGGGAGGGAAGCCCTGCCTGGAGCCCCGATCAGGAGGGGTTCTGGGGCACTGGGTAATACACACCACTTACCCCCAGGCCCCCCTCTGGCTCAAGTTCCTTTCCCTCTCTGGAACAGGGGCAGGAGAGGAAGAGGGCAAACAAGTATCAGGGGAGATGCTTCATGGGCTCCCATCTCCAAGGAGAGATCCCTTTACCCCAGGCAGTCGGGGTCCCTGAGTCAGAACTTGGTGGGAGGGGGGGCTCAGAAGCTGTAGCTCCAACACAGCCCAGCACAGCAGACTGGACAGAGCAGGGCCTCCACAGACTCGGAGACACTCCTGCCTAGAACAGGCCGCGGAGCCCCTGAGCCCTTCCCTCAGCGCCCCGGCCTGGGGGTTGTACATGTCCACTGGGCAGGCAGGAAGGGGTGGCGTAACTGGTTTCACCCCTTATCTCTGCCAGGGGCCAGGGACCGTAGGACCCATGTCCCCAGATGCCTCTTGGGCCTTGTCGAGGCAGCCGGCCGGCCTGGTTTTTGCTGCCTGCTATGGCCCGTCTGTGGTGTATACTGACTGTGACAGTGAGCTGCATGCATCACCATCAGCCTCTCCCACCAGGATGCGCTGGAGCTGGGAACAAAGCTGCCGATGCCAAGAGAGCCCGCTGCACACTTGGTCCAGCTCTGAGGCGAGAGCCCAGGAGGCTTGAGGCAGGCCCCACCCGTCCACCCCCGCAGCATCCTGGAGCCGGTAGTCTGGGCGGAAAGGTGGGGAGAAAGAAGCCCCTCACTCAGCCCTTTCACCACCGGTTTCCTCCTGCCCTGTGAGAGAGCGGAAAGCAGACACTGCCCTCAGGGAGCCCCCAAGTCACAGGGGGAGCAATATGAACCTAACTCTCAGGACTCCCAAAGTAATGAAAGAAAGCAGGTTTTCTTTCTCTTTGAAGAACTCTGGACTTAGTGAGACCGACACGCACCTCCCACACAGAAACTGCAAAGCACCTACAAAGCCTCATTCTCTACAAAAGGAAGTGAATAGAGAGTAAACCGATTACTGGGGAACCGAAGGAGGCAGCTGAGGAGCCACAGGTGGGGCACAGCCCCACCCTTCCTGTCTGGGGTTCACGTGCAGGCATTTCAAGTGCAGTGCTGAGCCCTGCCCCAGAGTGAGGGATGTCAGCATCAGAACCAGAAGCAACCCAGGCAGCTCATCCCAAGGACAGGGACCGTGCCTTCCCATTAGACGAAGGGGAGTTCCGACTAGAAAGGGGTCCACGTCACCCGTCTGGGACTCTATCCCCAGCAGCCCCGCCTGCCTAGGAGGAATGTTGCCCCAAACCAGGAATGAAACAAACGAAGCAGAAGAAGGGCCCCAGCTGCCAAAACAAATGCTGCCACAGTCCGCTCGTTCTTTCAACAAACATTTACTGAGTTACTAGTCCATGGCAGGCACTGCAGACACGAAGATGAGGAGGCCACGGTGCCCATCCTTGGGGACCTGACAGGGTGGTGTCCCAGTGATGACAGCCGGGGTGACAAAGTGTGCACAGCGGCCATGTGAGTCCAGAAGGGTCATGTGAACACCAGTTCAGGTTCACGCACTTTGTTCACAGGAGCACGCTCTCAGCACCCATTTATTTAATTTATTTTTTAAATCTTACTTTGATAGTTCTAGTAATTTTGCAACTATGGTTTCCTGCAGACAACGAGATCTGAAGCAGCAAAAAAACACATCACAGACGGTCAGAATAACAGCAGCGGGAAATGCCAACCAAGGAACATGATAAAAGTACTTATGAGAACTCAAAAAGCATTGCAGTCGGGCTTTGGCGTCTTCTAAATGGCCCTGCGTGGACAAGTGGTTCTCCCTACAATTGCCTTTGGGCACTGGCATGATGTTAATCACATGGACTTCGAGTTGCCCACAAAAAAGGTTACATCTCGGAGTACCCACTCTCAGAGACAGAGAGCAAGTGATGTACTTGAGAAAGTTTTTCTGCTATCAGGGCAGAAGCAAATATGGTGGAACCGTTGTTGGAAAATCCTCGTTCAACCTACCCTACCTCCTAGCACCAAACCGAGCCTGGGGCCCTGTGCAGCCTGACAGGTGCATGCCTGTGAAGGTGGCGCTGGTACCACGCTGCGGGCAGAGCGAATCAGTGTCCAAACCCTGTTGTCCCGTCCTCTAAGGCAAAGGCAAGAGGGGCAAGCCGACCTACTCCCCACCTAATTTTCCTAAAAGAAAGGGGAAGCTAACTTTCCAGGAATCTTCTCTCATCCTCTCCTGGAGTGGAAAAAGTGAATCTGCTGCCCCGCTCCCTGCAGCGCGCACACACACACACACACACACACACACACACACACACACACACACCCCTTCCCTCCAGCTCCCAGCGCTGCATTACAGTCCCCTGCCCACCAGAGGGAGGTGTGCCCCTGTCCCTCCCATCATCTCCTATTCTCTACCCACTGCAGAGCTGACCGAGGAGCAACAGCAGTTGCTGGCCTTGTCGGTGAAGAAAGGGTTCCTTGACCAACAGACAGAGAGCTGGTGAGGCGTCTGAGGGTCAGAGGATGGGTGTGAGAGGAAGGACAGCTAGAGTAAAATTTAGTTCGGCCACTCCAGGGGATACAGGAGCTCACCTGGCTGCACTTCCTCACTCACAGATGAGTACTCTGGCCCACAGAGCAGGAGGCACTTCCCTGGGGCCACACTGCAAGCTTCCAGCAGAGCCCTCTGCAGAGCTCAGGTCTCCAGATTCTTAATCCATGCCCATTTCTGCTCGACTCTAGAACTAAAGGGAAGACAGGTCAAGGATCTTTGGGGCTGGGGCTGAAATCTACATTTTTATGGCAGACCACCTGTGAAGTTGGTGGCTCCACAAAGCCAAAGCATCCTGTGATGTTTATTCTCCACTGTGCAGATGACCCTGGACCAAAATTTCTTCCAGAAGGAGGGAGTGCTCTTCTGTTTTCACTTCAAGCTGGTCAGAGGCTTCTGGGGTGAGAAGCTGAAGGGGACCCAGGAGGCCCTGGTGGGACCCTACAGCCTTGACATACAAGGGGACGGACCCCTCTATATGTGGGTGCCCAATGCCTTGGGACCGCTCTGTGCCCTCTGTGCCACCCTCTCCTTCCTTCAGGAGCTAAGCAACAACATCTGGCTCTCTCCCCCAGGGCAAGGGCAAGCAGAGGGGCCTGGGCATGGGCCTGGGGGGACAGTGGGATGGAGAGGCACTGCAGCTCCAAGTTCTCTGCGATGCAGAGCTTCGAAGGCTCCATCTGGGATTCCATCTCTTTAGCAGGATCTGGGTTTTTTGTTTGTTTGTTTGTTTGTTTGTTTGTTTGTTTATTTGTTTGTTTTTGTCCTTTCAGGAGGGCCTAGCAGTCACAGCTGAGGAGCAAAACCATGAAGTGGACAGGAGCTCCAGTACCTGCTCCCGCTGCTTCAGTGGATTGTCAGTGGGGGCTGGGGGCTGACACCTTGGACTCAGATACCGAGTTTAACATGCTTCAAGCTGCATGCACAAGTACGTTCCGCACTTCCGTTCTTCAGCACAGCCTCGAGTTGAATGACTGTCAGGAGACACTGGACACTGTCTGCTCAGCAAGGAGTCTGGAGATGTCATGGGCTCCAAAGCTAATTTGGGAACTGAGGGAAAACTTCCCAATTTTTTTAAACAATAAGGAAGGAGTTTGGGGGGTTTACTCTGTTCGGAAAAGAAGTATAGTTCATTTATGGAAGTAGAGCTCACCACACGCAGTCTGCACCCCAAAACTTCCAATCTCCCATGGGAGATACAAAACTCAAGGACCTTGGAGAGTGTTCTTCCTGACCCTCCACCAGACAGGCGCACCTCCATTCAACCTGCTTCCCTCCCTCCCTTTTCCACCTCCTTTTACTCAGAGGTGACCTGGAAGGATGTTTGCGCAAGGGGCAACTTCCCCCACGGGCTCCGGCCACCCCGCATCCTACCAGTGGGCTCCAAACCCTACAGCCACGGTCCTGAATCTCCTCCCACTCAACTGCCAGCTTCTCCCTGTTCCTGCCGGGATTCGTGCCTCCCACCCTTCTGAACTCCAGTAGATTACCCCATCTCTCTCCTTTTTGGCCCCTTGTTGAGGAGAAAATCAACAATAATAAAAAGGAAAAGTAGTAAGTAAATAATGTCCTGTCCCAATATTTGTGTCTCTCTGCGGTGTCTGCGGAGCACGCTGAGGGGCAGACATTCGGGCTCCCAGAAAAGAAGTGGCTGGGCTTCCTTCCTGGGGGTCAGCTCCCTGCAGGGATCCCCGTCTCCTAGCAACCACACACAAATCACAAGCTTGAAGGTCACCTCAGGGGTGATTATCGCCCATGACCTCCCTAGCTTGACCAGCAGAGGGAAATAGAGAGCAAAGCTTGCCACCTGCATCAGCACCACGCACCAGCGCCCAGCCTCCTGTTCCAGCAAGTGATTTTTTAATGGACCAAAAGGCTTCTCACATATTAGTCAAACTTAAACCTCTTCCAGCACGATTTAAAATACATCCCAGATTGTCCAGAACATAAACCAGGACTCTAAGGAGAAGGAGCCTCTGGACCCTGAAGGGATTCTGCGGACTTTCCCTAAGACTCTGAGATCGGCGAGTGTGTTACAAAAAGACAGTGTAACCTGGGTGGGCGGAGAAGCAGCACAGGGACAAGCTTGACGTGGACACTTCTATTGTAAAAGCACGAGACCTTCAACCCGGCCGACCCCACAAGCCCATATTTCTTCTCTCTGTTTTGAACCGCCAAAGCGTCCCATTGGAACACCATCTGCAATTTGAGGGGTGGCTCCATGTTGCAGAGGTGGGGTGGGGACAGGACAAGGAGAATAAGCACAGGGCTGGTAGAGTTTGGAGTGAATGAGGGCAAGAGAAATAAAAGGAGCGAGACTTCTGGGTCAAAGGAGAGAAAGCTGGCTCGGTGGACTCCAGGGTCCATCTAAGAAAGAGCCCATCTGTGTGCGGCTTCTTCAAACCACTGTCTCTGGATCTTTGGAGGACGAGCTGGACTGGATGTTTTGGCCTGCAGCCAGTGGGAGGAGAGTGGACACCAGGTTAAAAAAAAAAAACTCCCAAAAGTCTGACTGAGGCAACGGTGGGCTGGGGAAGGGGTCAGGAGTGGGGCTGCCTACTCCGGAGCCGACTAAGGGAGGGGAGACCGCACAGCCCAGACTATGTACCGGAGGACACTGATGTCACACTGACGTGCTGATTAAGAGACACAGAGGAAAAGGGGCGGAAATCCAGGGGAGCATTGGAGATGGAAAGGATGTTCCACATGCAACCCGTTTCTGCAGGCATGTGCACATGTGAAAGCGACCAGGACGGATGGCAGCCTTCCCACACGCCCAGACTCCCGGCTCTGCCTTGTCCAAGAGGAGGGATGTTTGGTTAAGGTAATGGTCAGGGCTAAGGAAGGAGAAATTGGTAGAGAGCTGCATGAGAAGGTCCTGGGTGGGTGGGGAGGGAGGTGAGCAAAAAGGTCGGGGCCGGGGAGCAGAGACCCAGCAGGAGCAAGGTCTTGTTCTGTTTTAAGATACAAAGAGATTCAGAAGGAGCTGTCGTGTTGAACGAGGCTTTGGGATGGAGGTGGAATAATGACGTTTTTAGGAAGATTTATGGAGCCCCTCAAGTAAACCTAACTTGCTCTTCATGGCTTTCAAGACTGCATCTCATTGTTTTTTTAAGACTTTATTTATTTATGTTTAGAGAGGAGAAAGGAAGGGAGAGAGGGAAAGAAACATGATGTGCAAGGAACCTGGCCTGCAACCCAGACACGTGCCCTGACCAGGAATTGAGCCAGCAGCCCTTCGGTCCGCAGGCCGGCGCTCAGTCCACTGAGCCGCACCAGCCAGGGTTCAAGGCTGCATTTCCTTCTGACCAGTGGTACTGAGGAAAGCCTCCAGGTGAAAGCACGCATGCTCAGCTGTAGTCAGGTCAAACATGCCACATACGTGGATGCCCAGCCCAACCCTGTAGGAGCCTGGATTGTAAATGTCTTGAATGGTCATCTGGAAACCTCACCATGTGCATAAAGTCCCCTTTAAAATTCCCTCCTGGCAGGGCCGAAAGTAAGAGCAGGACCTGAGTGACCTGTGCTGAGATGTCTCAGTCCCGACGGCAGACATGCAACTTGAGGTTTTCCACTAACTCCACGTGCCTCTGCCTGTGTGTGTGTGTATGTGTGTGTGTGTGTGTGTGTGTGTACAGTGCCCCGTGGGGGCAGAGATGTGGAACACAAAGCAACAGAAAAGCACCTCTGCCCACGCAGATGTGCGCTTCAAGCAGTGCCCTGGATAAGTGTATGCAGCTAAAACAAATGGAGTCAGGTGGTAATATGTAGGCAGACCAGCAGAAAGATGGAGGGTGACCTTTGAGCTGCTTTGCTTTACGCTGAAACCCGCAAACACAGGATTTCTTATCCCCTTATCACACCCCCAAGGCCTCTTCATGAATTCTAGATGCTTCCTGATGACCATGATGAAAACAGAACGGGGACGCCGTCTCTCATCGCACACACACACACACACACACACACACACAGCTCCCACTGCCTCTCCCCCGAGGGTGCCTTCCCTCCTCTCCTGCCAGCCCATCACGCCAGCCTTCAGTTGCCACCTCTCTCCCTCGGCCTTGGTTCCTCCAACCCACGCAGGCATCTGCCCGGCAGCTCCCCACCCCCTCAGAAGGCCAGGGCCCGGGGCCTGGGGCAGGGCACACGAGGAACAGGTTGATGCTGTTCTCCTGGAAGCGGAGGGGGGAGGGGTGGGGCCACGGGGATAGGTGGAGTCCCTTGAAGCCTACCTGCATCCTTGCCCCCACAGAGGTATAAAACAGCAGCCTGTCCTGGTGAGGGACAGTCACTCTCTCGACCTCCAGGCCAGGTGAACCCCGACCCTCACCCCGGACCCAGCTGCACGACAGGACCCAGCACCACTCCCTGGTAAGAGCTTGATGACAGTGGAGGAGGCAGGGGGTTTCCTAGGGATGAACAGGAACACGGGTGGGTCAAGAAGGGCCTAGTAGTCCCCCGGAGCCCAGTAGTGTGGGTGACCTGATTGGCTCTGGGCAATGAAGGGAGAGATGGCCCTGCAAGCCCCTCTCTGGTGAGGAGACTACAGCCGTCTGAGCCCCTCCCAGTTGAGTCTGGCTGGCCCCAGGAGGTTGTCTTGCCCCGGCCTGGCCCTCCGCGGAACGAGGAGAGCTCATGCAGCTGGCAGAACAGCCCGAAGCACCTGTCGCGTGCCTCCTGCTTCCCTGATTCTCTGAAGTACCTGTAGGGAGGGTGAGGCAGTTCCAGACCGGCTGGTGTGTCCTCTTCCACCCACGGTGATGATCTGGCTCTGCCAGCTGGCCGCCCAGCCAGAGCACCAGGACTTGAACCTCAAGGATGGAGACCCAAGGGCGTGCACCTCAGGCTTTTGCAGGCCCCACATTCTCCAGGGCCCTCTCACCTCAGCCTATGTCCCCCAGGCCTCATTCATTCCTTCCTTCACTCATTCTTTCCACACGCATTGGCCAAGCTCCAGATCTGCTCCAGGCACTGTGCCCGGTGCCAGTGCTGTGGAGATGACCAAGAGCCATTTCCTTCCCTCTGGTGGTCACAGTGGAGCAGGTGAGGGAGTCAGATGAACCGATCATAACGACATGAGGTTGTAGCGTTTCAAAAGGACACCTGTTTTAGGGACACGGGGTGGAGCCACTGGCTGTCTGAAAAGGTGAGGGAAGAGGTCACAGAGGGGGTGAACCCAACTGAGTCTTAAAGGGTGAGTGGGGATTCTTTAGATCGGAAGGGAGGTTTTGTAGGCAGAGGGGCAGCCAAGGCAAAGAGCAGTGAAGTGCTTGGGCCGGACCTGGAGGGCAGTGGGCCCACCCACAGCCAGGGCCCAGGAGGAGGGCACAAAGGAAGTAAGAATACAGGGAAGCAACCCTGGCCCCAAAAAACAGGGCACCAGCAGTGACCCCCCCCCCCGGCATCCCAGGGCCCTGGTTGTCAAGGAGGAAGGAGGGTAGGTGGGAGGGGCTCCACTCCCATCGCTAATGAAACACTCCAGCCAGGCTCCCAGTCCACAAAGAAAATGCTCGTGGGGTGGGAAAGGGGCCTTTGACCAAGAAAGGGCAAGGCAAGGGGCAAGTTGTCTCAGTCTCCTCGTCATAAAATGAAGAATCCTTCGGTCCCTTTCAACTCAGACATTCCGGGAACCCGGGCATCCTAAGGGTGATCTCCCTGGGCAGGGGCCTTCCCGCGTCCTGGTCTCCCAACATGTCACTCTCCTGTCTCCCTCCCCACACAGAGACAATGACTATGTTTGAAAATGTCACCCGGGCCCTGACCAGACAGCTAAACCCTCGAGGGGACCTGACACCCCTTGACAGCCTCATAGACTTCAAGCGCTTCCACCCCTTCTGCCTGGTGCTGAGGAAGAGGAAGAGCACGCTCTTCTGGGGCGCCCGGTACGTGCGCACTGACTACACCCTCCTGGATGTGCTTGAACCTGGCAGCTCACCTTCAGGTCAGCCTCGGGCAGGGGATTGGGTACCGAGGGGTGGGGCCCAGGCGCCAGCCTGTGAGGAGGCCCCCAAGCTCCCTCTGCACAGGTGGGATTAGGTGTCCTCTAGCCCCAGGTTCTCACGGGATGTGGGGGAGGATGGATGGATGCCTCTCAGCCCAATCCCTTTCGTCTTCTCCCTCCTGCAGATCCAACGGACTCTGGGAACTTTGCCTTTAAGAATATGCTGGATGCCCGAGTGGAGGGACAGGTGGATGTGCCAAGGACAGTCAAGGTGACGGGGACTGCAGGGCTGTCTCGGAACAGCACCCTGGAGGTCCAGACACTCAGCGTGGCTCCCAAGGCCCTGGAGACTTTGCACCAGGAGAGGTGGGAGTTGGCAGGGCTCGGGGGGCTACTGGGCTGGAGTAGGGTGGTTCACAGAAAGGGTGCCTGGGGCCCAGAGTCAACGGTCACCACAGGGGAGCTCTTGAGGATGAGGCTTCTGGCCTGCACGTTCCTCCAGGCCACCTCCTAACCACTCCCCCCCGTCCTTCCACTACCTCTGGTACCACCTCCCCATCTGTCACACACATACACACACACACACCAGTGTGAGTGTGTTCGCATGGACTTGCTGTGTGAGCTTGGAAGAGTCACTTTTCCTCTCTGGACCTTGGTTCTGTTTCCTGAGAAATGATAGGGTTGGATGAAAACCTCAAGGCCTTCCTACCCTAAGACTCTAAGGATACTCTTGGGTACTGAGGAAGAGTACTCTTGGGTACTCTTGGGTATACCACGGAGAAAAAGGGTCTTAGCAGGCCCCCAACCCTAACCCCCCACTGCAGTTTGAGCACAGCATCCAGCTCCCACAAACGGAGCCTTGAGCCTGGCCCCGTACACATAGCAGACTGCCCTGGGGAACGCTCCCCCAGCAACGCAGGGGTGTGGCAGATGCCCTGCCAACACTGGACACCTCAGCTGTTTGGTTTGACTGGGGAACTGACACCGAGCAGTTAAACAGCTGGTTGGAAGAAGCAGGTGAGGCCAGGGGAGGCAGGGAAGAAGGACTGGGTGCTTGGGAAGTCATCCAGTAAAATTTATAGAGCTTCGCTGGGTGCAAAGCACCCTGCCGGGTGCTGGGGTTCGCTGGAACATCTTGGTCCAGGAACCTTGAGATCCAGGAGTATGAGGAAAGACATACAAGAGTAACTAGAATCCAAGGCCTTTGGAGGGGTTTGTCTGAGTTCTGTGGCGGGTCAGGGGACTTCTGGCTGGGAAAATGAGGACAGACATCACAGAGGACACAGTCCATGATCTAGGCCTTGAAAGATAAGTAGAAACTGGGCATCTGGAACCAGGAGAAAGGCATTACTAAGGCACATGAGTGAGAAATCTCAAAACCTGTAGGGACCATGAAGAGCCGGTCCGGCAGGAGCAGAAGAGGTTGAGTGGGGGAGTGGGAGGTGTAGGGTGGGCCCAGATCACGGGGGACCCGGGTGCTCGGTCAGGGCGATGCAACTCTTCGGCAGGAATCGGCGGGACCTTGACGATGCTCTGATGTACGTTACAATCAGTCTGGCCAGATGAAGGAAGAGTGTCAGTTGGAGGACAAGGGACAGGGGTGTAAAGCAGGCAGACCAAGCAAGACACCGTCCCTCTGTCCATCAGCAATGTCAAATCAGGGCCTGAGCTAGGAAGAGCAGTCGGAACAGGGAGGGAGGAGTGGATGCAAGGTCTCTGGGGCAGCAGGGCAGACTGCACTTGGCAGCCGACTGCAGGGTGAGGGAATGGTTGTGCGAAAGATCTAAGGGGCAGTGTGAGGACCGTGGTCAACAATTCCATGTGGTGTGTCAGGAATTTGCGGAGAGCAGAGTGCAGTCATGCTCACCACGCACACGAAATGGGAACCGTGAGCTGGATATGTTAATTAGCTTGACGGGAGTAATCATTTCTGCGTATATCTAGCCAAAACGTGTGCATCTTAAATGTATATCATTGTTATTAAAATACAGGAATTAAATATATAAGAAGAAAAGAAACCAAGATGACTTTGATATTTGGCCCAAGTGATGACATTCACAAAAACAGGGAGACTGAGTTGGCCAGTGTATTTGGAGAGAAAGACCGCGAGTTCCTTTGGGGTTGTTTGAGTTGGGCCCCCAGCAAGACAGTGGCTGAGCGTGTTCTCTGGGGACCAGGAGTGGCTGGAGTCAACCACGCTCTGCTCTGCGTCTGAAAGCTTCTAAGAGACCAGATTGTAAAAATTCTCATCGCAAGAAAAAAGAATATGTGTGACTCTGGGTGGTGGCGGGTGTCAACTAAACTCATTGTGGCGATCACTTCTCAAGATGCACATATGTCAAATCATTACGTTGTACGCCTAAAACTAGTGCATTGATGTATGTCAGTGAGATCTCGGTTTTTAAAAACTTTAAAGACATTTGGAAATGAGGGTCTGGCGTTCAGGAGAGAAGTCGAGGGACGGGTACCGATGTGGTGGTCAGCAACATAAGAATTAGAAGTCTGGGAATGAGGGAAAATTGGTGGAGGGAGTTCAGAAGGCAGAGAACTGAGAACAAGATCTTAGAGAACTTAAAACTGCAGGGAACCGAAGAGTGATCGGACGTCAGAAGACAGAGTCTCACGCAGGGTTTGGACAGCAGGGTCCACGGTAGCGCAGAGTTGGGGAAGGTCTTCGAGTTCGCTGAGTGGGAGGTCGTTATGATTTCAGTGGAGGAGTCAAATAGAAGCCAAATTGTAAAGTATTTCGGAGGAGGCAGTGAGGAAGGAAAGGCAGTGCTTACAGGCATATTTTTGAGATATTTGCCTAAGAAGTGAAGGAAAGAAACAAGACGGTAATTTGAGGGAGTAGCAGGTGGGGAGGAAACCGATGCTAACAACAAGAGAGAGGATAAAAGATGGAGGCAAAGGACCCTGGAAGAGATGAATAGAGCTGAGAACGAGGAGGAAAGGGAAGGGAATCCACCCCAGGGCTGAGGGGGAAAGGGGAAAGAAGCACCCACGAGGCCCTGCTCTGGGCCGGGTGCTGGGCCAGATGGCCGCCGAGCCTCTCCCCCGACCCTGAAAGTCAGTGTCATTACCCCCATTTTACAACCGAGGCTGCTGAGACTCAGAAGGGCAGCTCTGGTAGCAAGCGGAGGTCTGGGTTTCAACCTCCCCCGTTCCCCAGAGCCCTCCCCGCCCCCCTGACACCCCTGGCTCTAGCTCCTGGGGAAGACGGAAGAAGAGGGAAGGCCAGGGCCCCGGCGGGGAGAAGCTCCGGACGACCCCTTACGCTGCTCCTGCCGCAGGAAGCTGGCAGCAGAGCACCCGTTCCTGAAGGAGATGCGGGCTCGCGGGGAGAACCTGTACGTGGTGATGGAGGTGGTGGAGACCGTGAAGGAGGTCACTCTGGAGCGAGCCGGCAAGGCGGAGGGTGTCTTCTCCCTTCCGTTCTTCGCGCCCTTGGGGCTACAGGTTTGGTTCACACACACGCACACGCACGCGTGCACACACACACACACACACACACACACACACTTAGATCCAGCCTTTCCTCAGAGGCTACATTAACTTTGTCTCATCAGTACCCACCGAGGATACTATGAAGGACCCACCCCTTCTCCCCATCTTCCAGATCCTGTCCCCCAATGACCAGACACAAATCCTGTCTCTAGTCAATGGCACCCAGTGTGGCAGATCCCTGTGCCACATGCCACAGAGAACTGTCAGAGAAGGGGAAACTCCTAGTCGTGGGTTTTCCCTCGTGGTGCTCCCAGTCTGTAGGAGAGGCACGCTTGTTCTCCGTCTCACGGAAAAGACACATAGGTTAAAGCCCAGAGAACACGAGATTGGAAACTGCGATGTGAATGAGTAACGCTCTACATACCTCTGTCCATTTCGTATAAATATTCCAGGGATGAGTGGGAACTAGGAGCAGGGGTTAGTCACAGAAGCCTTTTTGAAGGAGGTGGACGTGAGACAGATGGCAAAGAGGAAGAAGAAACCAGGGCCTGGATGGAAGCTCTAGGGTGGGACAGGGATGCACAAGCAGGTGATGGACCAGGTCTGCCCAGTTCCTTGGTGTGCCTGAACCAGGAAGAGAGACGGAGATCACTAGAGGAATGATTGGTGGAAATGAGCAGAAGAGGTCTCAAGTTCACTCCACGGAGCCTGGACCAGGCGCAAAGACAATGAGAGCACCGGTGAAGGGTTCCCAACTTCTCTCTCCTCAAAGGCTCTCAGGCCTGCCCTTCACCTGCACCCTCACCCCTCACTTCCAGTGTCTCATACTTAGGATCTCTGCAGAATCACGAACCCTCCCTCTCTCATCCTAGGGATCCGTAAACCACAAGGAGGCTGTGACCATCCCCAAGGGCTGCATCCTGGCCTTTCGAGTGAGACAGCTGATGGTCAAGGGCGAAAATGAGTGGGGTGAGCAGACACCGGCGTGTTCGCCCCTCCAGACAACTGCCCATGCCAGTACTAAGGCCCCTCGGCCCCCTTTGTGGCAATGTCAGAGAATTAACGGAGTGTGTTGTATTGTGGTCCAGCTGCGGGGAACAGAACAGCGGGGGCCGCCCCGGAGAGAGAGTGACCCCTGGTTCTGAGCCCCTCCCGCGTGGTAGGCCCTGTGTTCGCTGGGGGAAGGGACATGGGGAGCAATGGCAGCCCCTGTGCCCCAGAAGCCTGCAGCCAGTGGAGGAAACAGACTCAGACACCAGTACTGCCCTTCCTTCCAGAGAAAATACTGTTATCACAGAAAAGCGTTTCCAGGGGGGAAAAGGATCACTTCCAGCAGTGGAGGCGGGGCCGAAGATGCAGTGAGGCGTCCCAGGGCAGGGTCCTAGCCCTGAGCAGAGCCCACGGACTTGAGACTAGAGAAAGAAAGGTGGGGCAGCTCTTTAAGGGTCCTCCTCTCCCCTCTCTTGCTCCTCACAGAAATTCCACATGTCTACAACGATAACATGCAAACCTTCCCTCCTGGAGGTAAGAGAGATTGCCCCCTAGCTCCCCACATCCTTTGCCCTCCCCCCGACGTCATCTGCTGAAGTCCTGTGCCCTCTCATAGCATATACCAACCATAATTCTCCCCCCGCCACACACACATGCACTGAAAGCCCCTGGTTTTGTTTTCCAAGTCCCTAAAAACATCTAACCCCAACTTCAGGAAAGACAGGTAGAGGCATATAAATGCCTCCCAGGAGGGTCAGAGAAACAGAAAGCCAAAGACCGAAAGGCACAGGTAGACGCAGAAATGAGAAGTGGAGAGAGTGTGGGGTCCCAAATCGCCAGGGCAAACGAGCGGACGTGGTCTCCACGGGCTTTTGTAAGGATGACACTGAGTGAGAAGCACCCCTGACGGCTGCTCACGTAAGGAGGCAGAGTAGGCTTTGTGCTAACACGCGTGCCTTGTTTCCGTCTGCAGAAAAGCCGGAAGAGGAGAAGTTCATCTGTAAGTGTTTCCTGTCATTTCACTGTAACTTTCTTGACTCAGAATTTTACAATTCCAGCCTCTTTCTCCCCTTCTTTGTGGGACCAGCAGGAGACACGGCAGAGAGCAGGTCTCAGCAGCCAACAATTGCCCCTGGGATGTGGCAGAAATGCCGATAGCTTAGGGGAAAGCAGCGGAAAGGGCAAGTCTCTGGACAAGAGGCCCAGGCGGTCTGGTGCCTCAAGTCCTCTGTCCTCGAGGACCTTAGAAGCCCTAACCTGCAGCTCCACCGCCCAGCACCTGGGGTGGGAGCCACTGTGTGGACAGCTCAGTCCAGGAGTCTCTTTCCCCACTGCACTGGCTTCTCTTCTGACCCATTCCTGCCTCCCACGAAGGGGCAAGAGTATCCTTAAACTGGCTGGGTATCCTAACCCCCATTCATGTCTCATCACCTGGGTGTGGCAGCTGTTTGGGAGGGCTGCATACTTACCATTGTTTTCTTTTCCCCTCAGTCATCCAGGCAGCTGATGCTGGTAAGGAATTTTGTGAGTTTCTCCCAAGGCTTTGGCTTGAAGACAGTGGGTGAAGCATTGGAGTGGGAGGGGGGGAAGACAAGTCCCTTGATGCTGCGTCCCAGGTTCTGGGCTTGACGCCACTGCCAGGAAGCCAATCTCTCCAGAGCAGGCTGGACATATTCCTAGGATACCAGGCCCCTAGAGGGCCCAGGTTCATGCCATCCCTGATCCACCCACAGCCCTGGACATAGACCCAGAGATCTCTGGAGCGGTCCCATCCAGCCTTCACTCAGTCACCAAAGTCACTCTTATTTGTCAACTAACTCACGAGAAGGGGAAGTAGATCTTCCTCCTCAACTTTTAGCCAAAGTCTTAGAAAAAGGGGAGTTGATTGTCTGCTGATCCACAATCAGGGGTAAGGGGCCTGAATTGCTGGCTTAGATGGTCATGTGGGTCCTGGCCGCCCTCCTCGCCCCAACCCCACCCTGCCACGCACACCCCTCAAGTCAGGGCTGATGGGAAACTCCATAATCACACTCTGTGGTCAAGAAAAGAGAGGCCGGGCTCAAGCTGGGACCAGAGGGCGGGGACCTGAGAAGGGCCTCGTGGAGGAGCCTGCAGGGAGAAAGCCCACTGGATGGGGTGGGGAAGGTGCCAGGTGGAGGGCGGTGTGGCTACTACCTTTACTGTCCCCGTAGGGGAGGGGCACGAGGACTTCGGGACACTAAAAAACGAGATTGAACGAGAGACCCAAGAAGTGAGGAAGCTGAGCCCAGTGGGACAAAGCTCCCTGCTCACCTCCCTCAGCAAACTTCTAGGGAAGAAAAAGGAGCTGCAAGACCTGGAGCTCACGGTGAGGCCCCAGTGAAAGGAGTGGGGGCGGGGCAGAGATGGAGGGGAGGGAGGGTAGGGAGGGTTTAGGTTCAGGCATGTGTGGGCCTTGCAGCCCGAGGGGGATCTGATGGCGGCAGCAGAAGGTCAGGGGCCAGAGCACTTGAAAATGGACGCCTTCCCCAAGGCTGGCCGAGTGCGCCCCGGGATGCCAGGCCACCCCGCTCCCTTGTCCCTCTGGAGAAGGGCCAACAGTGCAGACTCCCCCAAGGCAGATGGACAGAGGGACAAAACAGGCCAACACAGTCCTCTTTGGAAAGGGGCTGGAACGTTCCTTTCCAGAGTGCAAGACTCAGGAACCAAGAAACCTGGGAGTCCGATATTTTCGGGACTTAATACCTTGGAAAGGAAATAAAGAAATGGGAGGAAGTTAACACCCGCCGAGGGACCGTGCACCAGACACCATGCTGGGACCCTCGCTCTTGTTGGCTTAAATAGTCACCAGCCTTTCCCCACAGCTCGAAGGGGCCCTGGACAAAGGACACGAAGTGGCACTGGAGGCACTCCCAAAAGACGTCCTAGTATCAAAGGAGGTGATGGGCGCTGTCCTCTATTTCCTTGGAGCCCTAACAGGTAAGTAAGGAGGAAGGGCTTTGTGCATACCCTCTTTCTGTGATGGGAATGAATCGCTGGATGAATTCCCAAATGTCTGAATGAATGAATAAGTAAATGAATGAATGCCAGGCAAATTATACCACAGTTAAGTTTATATCTACAGTTTTAAAGGGTTCACTTGTTCACCTTGGATAGTTTCAGAAGACGGCCTAGTCTTGCCAACAGAGGTTGGGATAATCCTGGTTTTATTGGCCTTTTATTGAAAACTTCTACATATAGCTAAGCTTGTCACTTTTTTATCGATATTTCAGAGGGTAACATCTGATCTTGAGCCCAAATTCTCTTCACTCTGCATGAAACAGTCCCTCGTTTAGAACTTTCTGGTCCTTCAGGTATAAGCTGAGATGTTTGTTCTCTTAAGAAGTCTGCCTTCACCCTGGTTGGTGTGGCTCAGTGGATTGAGTGCTGGCCTACAAACCAAAGGGTTGCAGGTTCAATTCCCAGTCAAGTTACATACCCGGGGGGCAGGCCAAGCCCCCAGTTTGTGGCGTGCAAGAGGCAACCATTGTGTATTGTGTTTGCACACACCTTTGTTCTCTCCACTAGACTCCAACTTCCTTGCGTGAAGGAAGTTCATTTTTACCTAAGGTACCCACACACAGGTGCCTGGCCCAGAGCAGGCATTCAGCCATGAAAAAAAAGTATGAATTAATTAATGCTGAAAGTCTGGAATTGTATCCATCAGGAGTCTGTAGTTCCCTTTGCACCAACAACACACATCTCTTTCTCTGCTTTTTCTTCAGAGTTAAGTGAAGCCCAACAGAAGCTGCTGCTAAAATCCATGGAGAAAAAGATCCTACCCGTGCAACTCCAGCTTGTGAGGATAAAAACAGCAGACACCTGGGAGAGTTTGGGAGGGAGTCAGCTTGAACCAGCAGAAAGATACAAACTAGTCTCACAACAGGACTGTCCTAGGGGGCCTCTGTCTTATCCCGGGAGCTCATGCACACTTTGTATTTCTGTCCATGTTCCTTCCTTTTTGCTATTTCACAACTAGAGGTAGAAGGGTAAGCTTCTGGGCAGTTTTCTGGGGTTTTCAGCCTGATCTTGGGAGAAGAGACAGGAAAGTCTCGTTTTGCTTAGTCTGAGCCAACTGATATGAGCAAACATTTTGATGTCTCTGAGTCTCAAGTCACTCCTCTGTAATGGGGCTAAAAATAAATGGGCTGCCCACTGTACAGGGTTATTAAAAAGCCCAGATAGAGTGGCGATGTAATGTAATGACAGGAGTTATAATAAGAGAAGGATCATCATCTTTGTGGGTTTTATGAGTTAGGAGAAAGGAAGAGAAGTTTCCAATTCTTCCTTTTCATGTTATTTTGCTTCCTTCCAGGTGGAGAGCATAATGGAACAGAACTTTCTACTGGATAAAGAGGGTGTTTTCCCCCTGCAACCTGACCTGCTCTCCTCCCTCGGGGAAGAGGAGCTGACCTTCACAGAGGCCCTGGTGGGACTGAGTGGCCTGGAAGTGCAGAGATCAGGCCCGCAGTACATGTGGGACCCAGACACCCTGCCCCACCTCTGTGCCCTTTACGCTGGCCTCTCCTTCCTGCAGCTGCTGACCAAGGCCTCCTAACTTGCCTTTTCCATCTGCCTCCCGCTTCCCTGGTGCCTTCCCCTACCTCACTGTGCTGCGTCCTTAACATCCAAGGGCATTTCAGAGCCACCAGGCGGAGGATGATGGAAACCCTAGCTGGCCCCCCAAGATAACCAGTTTCCACTTGTCCAGCTCTGTATCCCACCTTGCCCCCTGCAGCTCTTCTACCCGCTAAGCCCATCTGCTGATGCTTAAACCCTCTAAAAATGTGAGTAGAAACACTCACATTTTTTAAATGATGAGCCATTTCAGCCAAACCAGAATTAATTAATTTCCTATCCCGAACCCTTCCTCTTGTGTTTCTGAAAAACTCAAGCTTTACTGGAATCAATGGAAAATATTTCACTGCAATGAAATGTCTTTTGGTGTCTTTCTTTAAAGAAATTTATCATAAGGAAATTCTTAACTTGTGCCAGAAAAGAAAATAGCCACTACCACACTACATATAGATCATATGTACATGAATACTATTCAGTGTCCTCAGGCCAGCTGGAAAATACTCAGAGAAGAATGATGAGGATACAGAATGTGGAATCTGGAGTCTAAAGTGAGCTCATCAAAGCAGCTTGTCTTCAAAGAGGAGCCTTGGGAGTCCTCTGGACTTGGCCGAGGCACTGGGAAAGGCAGAGACCTAGCGATACATTGTACAAACCCCAAACAAGAGTAAGACAACGTTCAAGTGTATTGAATAAAAACAATGCAGGTAGGCTCTGGCCAGGTAGCTTAGTTGGTTAGAGTGTCATCCTGATTATATGGATTCCATCCTCTGTCAGGGCACATACAAAAATCAGCAAACGAATGCACAAATAAGTGGAACAACAAATCGATGTTTGTCTCTCTCCCTCCCTCTCTCTAAAATATCAACAAATTTTTTTTAATTTAATGCAGATAGGTCTTAAAAAAATAACACAAGAATAAACCTGACCTACGACTTAAAAAAATGGCGCTATTATCTTCCCGATTTCACCTTTTCCTCTTCTGCTCTCATTTCAGGATGGCTGTGGAAGTTGTGTGGGTAGGCTCAGCATATGGACCTGCCACGTGGGTTTTGCCTTCTGCTAAAACTGCTAGGTTTATGCCATCCTCCTCTGCCTAAAGCTGGGTTTTATCCTCTTTCACTGACCTCTTTTAAAATAGTTTTATGAGTGGAATAATTTCTCCAAGGTTTTTGGCCCCAGGAGTCAGACTCATCCCCTTCTAAACCACTCCTTGCCTTGGTTATTCCCCTCAGTCACCAAGAATTCATGACCAACTGCCAAGGAGTTTGTGTTAAGCCATCCTCCCCCATTCTGGGGCATCATCTAAGGCCTCACTGTGTTGCTCAAAGACATCCTGGGTAGTTATCTGCTGACTTGACTGTTTTTCCCTTGTGATGTAACTGTAATAAACAGGTGAGCTAACACCCTAACTATCCGAAAGGATAACTTCACGATGATGAACAACAAAGCTCATCTGTTTTCTTCCTTTATGATTCTCGCCCACCTTCAGTTACAGATACTGTGTTATGAAGAGGCTTTAATGAGTTTATTCCAGTGGTGACTCAAAGATCTTGTTATCCACTCCCCAGCCCTAAGGGGGAAGGGGGTAGTTAGGGAGGAATTGGTCCAGGCATGCTCCCTAAAACTGGAGTACACATTTTTCCATTTAGCAAGCAGCTGTTTAGTAGTGTAAGCAACTATTTTGTGCCATAGTATGAAAACAGCAAATTTCTCGGAGAGTTTTCTCTACATACATAAAGGAGAATATAGTCAAAACATATTCTCTGCCCTCTAGGACCTTACATCACAGCTGGATTGTCTTGTGAGGTCTGACCTGGTCTAAAACTCAGGACTTCCATTTATGAAAGAGAGAAAATTTCCCAGGAGGGAGGAAGTTTTTGTGTTGTCTTGTGAAATTGGAACATGTATCCTCCCCCTACAGAATCGCTAGAGGACTGCCTCGTAAAATAAATGGACAGGATTTCTGGTTCAATGTCCTTCCCCTGGGGATTCTCAGGTTCCCCGTAGGTACACTATTATTCCGGTCCTTATTTCACTACGGAGTCTGTCCGATGCATACAGGTGCCCCAACGGACTCCCCGAAGCCTCTGGCAATAGGTGCTTTCACCCTCTTTCCTCCGGCTTCACAATACAAAATAACCCAGAGCACGGTTTTCAGCAGGCTGCATCCTGCAGCTGTACTTGAACACAGCGCCCCCCAATGCACTGGCCCTGGGCCATACAGAGAGTGGAGCCCTAAATGTTATTAAACTGGAGTGACTGTACACAAACGCCTTTGGCCCCATGCACACTCTCAGGCTGCAGAGATTTTTAAGTCTTATTTTTATGTCTTTATTTTTCAGCACTAGCTAAAATCGGACAAGGGGAGCTGAATCCCATAATTCGATTTTGTTTTAAGCCCAACAGCCAAGCTCCACATTCCTCGTTCGCAGCTTCTTTCCCAGCATCTTTTCTTCCCTCGCGCGGAATGCACTAGGCAGCCGTTGAAGGTGAGCCTCGCGGACCTCGAAGGCGACTCAGCCGGGGAAAATAGAGCGAGTTCGGTAGAAACCCACCGGGCTACTCGTGACACCATCACGCCCTACGCTCCCATAGGCCCTACCCACTCCACGCTGGTGGGCGGGCTCTTAGAGTCCGACGTAGCCCAGATTGGAGCCTGAGGGGACCTCTCGTGGCCAAGCTCAGAAACGCACTCGGGAGGAGCATAAAAGAAAATCAACACACTTAAGCACTCCATAGAAAGCCCCACAAACTCGTACAGGCTCCTCCCCACTGCTTGCCCGAAGATCCTCCCCCATCCTGCACCTCGGCTGTTGATTTCTCTCCCCTTTGCTAACTCGGCCATCAGCACACTGGGCCTGGCGTTTCCCAGCAGACCCAGCGCTGGGAAGGGGTTTGCAGCTGCTCCGTCATCGTGCGGCCCGACGTGATCCCGCGCTCTTGTATAGGCCCGGCTCGGTTCCTCCTCCGTGCTGCGAGGGTTCACGCGAGGCCCCGGCCTCAGTCTCCGGACTAGGCCGCGACCCTTCGTGCCATGAAGCAGGAGGGCTCGGCGCGCCGCCGCGGCGCGGACAAGGCGAAGCCGCCGCCCGGCGGAGGGGAACAGGAACCACCGCCGCCCCCGGGCCCCCAGGATGTGGAGATGAAAGAGGAGGCGGCGACAGGTGGAGGGTCAACGGGGGAGGCTGACGGCAAGACGACGATGGCAGCTGAGCACTCCCAGCGAGAGCTGGACACCATCACCTTGGAGGGTACGAGAGCCTGGGCTGGGAACGTACCATGGTCACGGGTGACAGCGACCCGGGGATCCGGCTTCTCCTTGAGACCCCAGCGAAGCCACCACCACCCTCTGTTCCTAAAGATCACTCCCCTCCAGGTGGCTGCTCCCACCGCCCTGACACCCCTGTTTCCAGCCCCAGTGACCCCAGGCTTAGGACTCCCCTGGCCACACCTTCCCCACCCGGGGTTGCGTCTAGAACTAGGTCTCACTGGGCCTGTAAACTCCCTCTCCTTAGTCCTCCCCTCTGACCCGCTCCCATTTCCATCGCACCGGACTGACTCTGTTGCGCCTTGATAGGTGATTGATCCCTCTAGAAACCAATGTCTGTACGTGTGCAGAGGGGGTCAGGATGACGCAGAATACTGGCCCCCGAGTTTTAAGTGTGTACTAAGGCTTCTGTTGTGTTAGCTACCTTTAACAAACTCCCCTAAAAGAGCCCTTTCTACCTGGTATCTTGCTTCCTTGTTTGTGTAATTAATGTGCCAAAGGATCCCATCTTTTTTTCCCCCCTCTCCCTTCAATCCCTTACTCCTACGCTGTTTCTAAAGGGTTTAAACACATTCCACGCTTTCAACTTTACAAATCACCTTTGCGTTCCTAACGCTCGCCTTCTATCTAAATTATATACCAATCTCCCATTCTTTTTTCCTAGATGCCCCGTTGCCAGTTTCCCACCGTCCCCTTGTTCCTCTAAGTTCACATTTCACCTTTCCGAGTTAAAGCATCCTGGCCAGGTTTGGCGTGGGCAGCGTGAGAGCTTCCCACTCTGAGCCTGGTTCTATTTCCTGTTCTGGATCAAGTGGGACTGGACTATTTCTTGGGTTTGCTTTCTACTTAACTGCGTGAGAAACTAGCTCAGAAAGACTGAGATAACCCAAGTTATCCTTCTGGGTGGTGTGTTTGAGGCCGAGATAGAGCTGACTGCATCAGCTTCGACTCTAAAGTTGGGGAACAGACTCAGTGTCTAAGAAACACCATTTTACCTGAAATAATGATAGCCAGTGGCAAAGGCGCCACTCAGCCTTACCTGTTGGGTATGTACATGTTTCTTATAAACACTTCCTTTTCTTATTATAAAGTAGTTCATGTTTATTGTAGGAATTTTAGAAAATATGAGAAGTCTCAAATATAGCAGGGATGGGAGAAATCAACCATCTTTTTCCGTGAATTTTTAAGCTGCTCTCCCGTAATTGAGATCATGTCATATGTACAGTTTGGAACAGGTGTAACTAAATACAGGTGGTTTGTGCGCTTTCATTTAATGTATCCGAAAACAGTATTCGATTTATTCCAGAAACATTCATTGACCTGATGTGGAGGCTAAGAATGCAAGCTCTAGAATTAGTTTCTTCATCTCTATTATGAGAGTAACAGTATCTACTTCCTTGGGTTGTTCTGAAGATGAAGATGCTTAAAACTGCCTAGCACGTGGTGAACACATAGTGAACCCTCCATAAATATTAGCTGTTACTATTATATCGTTAACAATATAATGTCATTAATATGCATTCCCTTATTAGACATTTAAGTTGTTTCCAGTTTCTTACTCTTATAAAGAGCTATGCAGCTGTCATCTTTGTGCCCAGGTGTTTCACCTGCCTTTATAATTTTGTCTTCAGTATAGAATATTATGTGCCGGAGTCAAAGGGTAAATGTTTCTAAGGTTTTTGGATAGGGATTATCCAGAAAAACTGTTCTGGTTTATATTATACTAGCAGAAATGTCCTGTTCACCCCCATATTTGTCTTAATCATTTATATAGGGTCTTCATAGAATAAGAATGAGAGTCTTTGGTCATATTTGTTGTACGTATTTTTCTTTTTTTGAGATCGAGTTCATCAGTCTTTGTGCTTGTGATTTCTCCCATTGTTTACATTTAGAAAGTATTCTCCTACTTAGAGGTAAATATCCCTGTGTTTGTTTCTCATCATTTTGTTTTCTTTTTATCCTGTTTCTGACATCCTCTTCTCCTACCCACACCCAGCTTTATTATTCTTTGGCTGTTGGTGATGTGTTAAAATCACTGTATGGCATCCATAAGTATTTTTAACCTTATTAG